ACAATTACAGTATCTATATTATGCTGTTTTTTATGCGTTGTATTTTATTTTATGACAAACATAATATATCTAAGCATTTTCCACTTGTTTAGTCTAAATAGTAACATTATATACGACTTACAAGCATTATGCCACCGCAGTAAGTATATAGTTGGGTACAGTATATTATATGGTGTATAGATGTGCAGGATTCATGAAATATCTAACGTCTAACTTTGTCTCGTATGTATAATACACTATTACCTGTATGCTATTACTTTATTTTCATCATTCGTATAATAATATGTATTGCGAGATCAAAACCCACGAGGCAGTCTAAAATAGTCATTAGACATACGAATTGCAGATGTCAATATACAAAACATAACAAAACAGCAAACTAATATAAAGTATCAATGATTTTTGATTTTTCTCGTATTGAAACGCTTTACAAAATGATAGTTTAAATTAATACAAATAATAAATGTAATGATCGTAACTAAATTACAACCTTCATCGATCTTCTTGTCTATAATACTATTTGAAATGACTTATTAGCGATTTTTCAGTGTATTATTGTATGTATTGGCTTTAATTAAAAACTTTCTTAAAAGTTCCAAATTAATGATTAGACAGTTTTTTTTCACTTTTTTGAATAATAAAACACGTAAAAACATTTTAATCAATATTTTTCAACACATGTGCCAATTAACTTCAACAGTTATTTATTGTTATTACAATTTTTAAAGGTACTTTTTCTTTATTGCTTTTTACAGGATTATTTATACATTATTTATGAAAGCATTATTTTTTTTTGTGAAAAAGCTTCTGTAAAGAATAATGGGATAAATATTTTAAACGAATTATATTGGTATTAACTAATCAATGAAAATAACTTACATATAACGTCCCAATAACATTTAGGAATGAGTCAGTAATATTATCTTTTCATTTTCTTAATATAGACAGTTTATCAAACTTAAAAATAAAACTTTTACTATTAACTTTTAAACTATTGAGGAGTATAAGATGATGGAGACCAAATAGCCCCTGTCGAGGAAACACAGATAAGCATAGTGGAAGCGGGGAAAATGGAAGAAAAAGCCAGGGATAAGTCTGAAAAAATAAACATTACACATAATGATATAGTATGTTAACATTTTTAGTTTTATTATACATATATAATGCATATTTGGCCTATTTCTAAAATATACCTATATACCTAATCAATATGTGTTCAATAAAGACAATCCAACCGGCTCAGCCTTATCGCCCAGGGTAATTATTATATTGCATCAATTTACTATAAAATATATATTTATATTTTCCATATAAGTATTAAGATATATTAAAATATACATTTTTAAACCATTAATTTTACAATGTAGACAAATAATTAATTGTTTCAAATAATTTTGAGATTAAATTCATAAAAATATAATAGAGTGGTTACCCAAAATCTATGCATATTTATATAAGTCATATTGCATAACGGGGAACTGCTTATATATTTTACATAACAACATATGTATAAATATACATTATACTATTATGTATACACTTTCATGAGCATCATAACTAAGTATTTTCCGAAGAGAAATCGTTGATTTAATTCAACGAAAAGTAAACCATAACTACTCGAGTAATAGATTTTAAATTTTAAGTTTAGCAGAATATATACAAAATACCTAAATTTCTTTTGGTTGTAGGTATATAATGATTATGTGCTTTCGTTTTAATATACATACATACATGTATAGGGGATATTAATATTTTTTTTAAATTTTAAACTTTTGTGTGATAGGCATTTGAATTTAATTATTTTCTATAATGCCAAATATATTTTTTTTTTAATTCAATTTTGTTTATAACTACAAAGTTAAATTTTACTACGTTTGTATGCCAAGAACCATAAAAAAAATAAAAATTTAATGATTATTTTATTCTTATTCAAAGATATATTATTTAATGGAGTGGCATAAATTAATATGAATGCTTATAAAATAAATGATAATAGAAAAGAAAAACATTTTCAAGTCGATTGTCTAGTAGTCATTTAATTTAATAGTGGACGGAAACCATTTAAATCTTGACACTAATGACTAATTAGTAATTATTAATTATTAATAACTTATAAGCTGTAACTGAAAAAAAAATGATAACAATATAAGTTCGAAGTATCAACACCGTTGAGGGGTCAGGGGTTTTATTTTATTAACATTTAACTAACTTCATGCAACTTCCAATAATATCATCTATGTGACATAAATTAATTTAAATTAATGTTTACCGATATAAATATTTAAGAATAAGAAACCTAACGAAAAATATATATTTTATCTGGACAGTGAACACGAAGAAGGCACCTTTGTACCTATCACCTAAATAAAATATTATAATTTGGGCGTAATTTATTGTTTATTTTTATAAAACTGCGTGCACAATGACCTTTTGTTCTATGTTTTTTTTTCATTTCCTCCGAATCATAAATATTACTTAGTGTTAAGATATTACATTTTTTAATTACACTTCAACAGTTAATATATATGTATATATGTATTATGTGCGTATATATTTTTTAGTAAAAAACATAAAATTAATTTTACTTACATTTTTTTGAATGTACTTGTATCTAGTTAGTATAAAATATAAATATATATTAAATCATGGATATTATAAACATTATAAATTAACTTCATAATCAATAATTAATGCTTTATTTATTTTTAAATATTTTAAATATTGAATAGGTTAATAAGTAAACTTATGTATAATAATGGGTATAATAAGTAAATATTAATTTGATACTACATACGTATTAAAAATGTTCATTTTTAATTCTTTTAATTTTTGATAATATTATATTGTTTTATATTTTAAGCAGTCCTAAAACAAAAAATTAGTCTGAGTATTCATTATAGAAATAAAATAATTGCTTTCGAATTTTTTTATTTACTTGTTAAATTGTATAATAATAATTTTACAGTATCCAAGAAGATAACAGATCTATTCAATGAATACATTATTTTAAACTTAAGAAAATCGAAACAATACAAATTATTAATATTTAAGTATAAAGTACTTATTTATGTTCTTTAAAAAAAAAATAACTGACAGTGTTTTAAGCATGAGAACTATGTTTAATACATGATATATTAAGTATAGTAAGACAAATCATAGCCAATGCATAAAGATACTTTTAAAATGTCAATTGAGACAAATGAAGATAAAATAACAATTTTTTTTTCAATATTGGTAGGAGGCTATAGCAGCGGTTACTACACTTTCAAGAATAAATACTTGTATTGTTTTCGACTGAAAATCGATTTTAAACGCAGATGTGAAAAGAACTTCCAGAGAAAAAAAAACATACATTTTTAATGATATACGACCGTGGAAAATAAACAAATGATAAATGTTACATTTAATAATTATTATGTTTTGTCTTTGACACATTTTTTACGAGTGAATAGATTTTCTACTATATCATGTCTTAATTTGATTTCATGATATGAAGTGCATTTATGCATGAAATGTGTTCAAATATTGCCACAGATAAACTACTATGCAACGGAATTTAAATTTAATAAATCTCCAACGACAGGGTGTGCGTTAACAATTATAATTGAGATAATATTAGCATTACGAAGGACGAAAGCGATGAAATTCAAACCGTTCGTTCAGCGACTTATAAGAGGATTATGTATACATGCTGTAGACATTTATGTATATATATATATATATATTAATTGAAATAGTTTTGTTAATTCTAGTAGGAATTAATCTGCACGGATTTTCTTCCGAAATGGGAATTACCTATTTCCGCCAATAATTAAAATTATTGTTTCCGCGGGTGGTACTCGTTACTTTCAAAATTGTATATTTTTTCCAATAATAACAGTTTCAAATTTCAACTAAAAGTGTACTTAGCAATATTTCACCAATACTCTATTCAACCAAATGAGATATTGAGCACTTTTCCACCAAAACAATTACTATTAAACGTTGTGATACAGTATAATAGCATCATATTTGTATAAATACAACTAAATAATGTAAGGTATTAATGTATAATGTACTTATAATACTAAACATTTAGATAAAATACTGGTTTCTATTTTATATAATAATAATTATTATATAAATAAATTCTGAATAGATTGCCAAGTACCTATAATATATGTATAATTGAATAATTAAGGGTAATTAAGGTAACAGGTAAATTAATAAATTATAAGTTATATGAAATTTTGAAATCATAAACGGAGACAATTATACATTCCTAACGTGTTAAAATTGTATTGTATATTGAATATTTGTTTGGATAAGTATTAACACAACTATATAAATATTAATAATTCACAGTAGGTATTGATAAATGTTTATTTCTACTTGAATTCTTTTTTTTTTTTGTATGTTTATTTTTTATAAGTCTTGCAAATCCACCATCAAATAGACACTCGAGTCACCACTATAATTTATTATTTAGATATTAATTAAAATCTAATTGTTTAATAACTAAATAAATATATAAGTAATTATATTTTATACCTAGCTAACGATTGGTGTTGCGTGAGTGATATGAAGTAATGTATTTTTAACGTTGGTCCAAAAGAAAAGTGATCTAAAGTCTAGACTCTAATACAAATATTTACAAATGGAGCAATAATGCGTAAATATTTCTTAACAGTAAACAGTGATTGAGTGAATATTAAATTAAAAATATCAGTGAGCAGCAAATATCATAAATATATTAGAGGTATTTATTTGTCTGTCTATATAGTAACTCATTTAATTAATATGTATTATACACACAGGCACACAGCTCAGACTTCATCACATAAATTCCATTTAAAATATTTCAAGTGTCACCCTTAGTTTACATTGAAAAATGTAAGTAATTAGTTTTATAACAATATTATAAATGTTCACACTTTAAGAATCAATAGTTGTAAATAAAGGAAATTGAGTTCAAATATTCTCAAATATTTAAATTGATAAATAGCGTCATAGTATCATACCTTTTCGAGGGGTTCCAATTTGACTTTTAGTTCTTCCATCTTAGCCAGTAACTCCCTTTCTTTTTTTAATTGATGTTCTTCGACGTTCAGTGATTCGTACAACTGACTGACTAAAGTCCTGACGCCAGAAAGCCGTTCCATTTCTTCCTATAAAATAAATATCATGCATAAAAACAAATCTATTATAATATAACGACAAATATCTGCCTACGTTTCTATTCATTTCAAATTCACAACAAATAGTCTCACACCAGTCACGCGTAAGTCGTATAAAATAATAATTATTTAATATTATTGATGTGCCATGTAATTACAATAATTAATTAATAATTATAAATCTACTTTATTATCTTTATTATTTTAGTACTTAAAAATAATTAAAATCACAAACATTTTTATACATCATATCCAACATCTGATGCATCACCTAATTAGAGATAAAAGCAACACGAAATTTTTCATTATACTTCATAATATTATATTAACACCCATATGTTGGTCGAACTAATGAACCCTTTAACACAGATGGATCTGATAAAGTAAAACTATCTGGTTTTCTAACAAAATGTGCATATCATATTATATGGATACCTATTTATAATATATTTAAATGGATATAATGTACATAGATACCTACTTATTTTGTGTCGTTTCGTGTTTAACGGTAGTAACTTTTATTAGCTTATCAAAGAAATGACAAAGTTATTACATTTTGTATCCATAGTAGAGTAATATATTTAAAACAAAATTAAATGTATCATCATTGTTTAAAAAAAAAATATTTAGGTACCTTTGAGACATCTTACTTTTGCAATATTATTACTTACAATATTTATAATATTATTCCATTTAAATAAAATACAAATAATGTTTTTTTTAACATAAAACATACATTTTTAGTTTGACACATTTACAATAACACTACATTTTTACAAAAACCCTAAGTTGTTCTCATTGGGGATAGGGGAAGAGGGTTTCACCGACTGTATATGTGCCAGAAACAAAATAATATATCTTAAATACCTCTCTATACCTACTTCAAATTCTATATTTATTTTTCAAAACACAAAAGTATTAACAAAAGAATCATTATTTACGTCCATATTTTATATTTGAGTTTATGCAATGGTCAACATTTCAATCGATGGTTGAAAGTACAACTTTCGTCACCGTCACTTAGGTCAAACAAGAAATTTCAACAAAAAACTAAATGCCATATAATTTTTTTGTGTTTTTAGTTTTAACCAAGTGTTATAATGATAACTAATAATTAGGTTTTGACGATATAATTATTCCAATTCATCTGTATTTGAATGACATATGGCAACGATAAGTAGTGACTAATGTTGTACATCACATAGAAATGTTTTTAAAATAATTATTATTCTTATCATAGCCATCATATTATATTTTGTTCACATTGCATTTCTAAAACGTTTCAAAGTATTGCAATTCACAGTAGGTACAACGAAACGTTTCACTAAACAATAAAATAGTTTGATAATCAATCTGCCAAAAAAAAATATTATCATGGCACATTTAGTTATTATTATATTATGTAGCATAATGTTGTAACTCTTGTCTAGGTCATAAATAACAATAATTATGTATATCGTAGATGTTGATAACGATTTCGAACTCAATTCATCATTATTATAGTGCAGAATACAAAAATACCTACTATCTAACTATAGATTAAAAACAATGGTAAGTTTCGTGTTGTGAACTTGTAAGTGTCGCCGGTAAAATTATGTTTTGTGGGTCTTAGAGACAGTTGGATGTCTTTAAATACCTATCAAAATATGTAATACTAATATTACTACCTCTTTTTACTATCAAAATATGGAATCCCTATTCCCCATACAATATTTTAAAATTAACTTATTAACTCGTACTAGAACTTAACATAAGATTATAATTATTCCTAATTATTTATGAAAATACTTAAATACCAGTATTGAAATAATATATAATATCTTTAGATGCAGTTCAACCAATTACGCAAGATTGGTTGTCGTATGATTTTAAATCGTACAAACCTTTGTAAGCTTCCTGTGCGGTGGCACTTTAACCGCGAACTCTCGGTCATTGATGGTTAACCGGAAGTCATCTTCCATGAGCGATTCGATTGTATTGGAAGACGCTATGCGCACACCCTCTGAGCTGGATATAACTACGCGGTCGACACCCGGATCCTCGGTCTTCAACATTTTGGTAAAGTCACCGACCGTGTTCGTCACTGGGCGCAAGGTAAACTGACAAAGTTCGCGCCTGGACGGCAAAGGAACTGTGACCGTGGGCAACCCTCGTCTGAGCTCGACGTGGATTTCTGCAAAAAACATAATGCAAATGTTAGTAGGTACATAAATTATAAATAGGACGTGGGCTTTGTAGACGCGTTAAATTTAAATGGGCTTTTTAAGTAAAAACGCTCAAAAACGAAAAACTGAACACGCTATTTGGCAATTTCCCCATTTTGTATGCTAATATACCTATTATTATAAATAGTAGACAATCTTAAGTATTTAATCCCTTGTAATTATATGAAATAACTATGAACTTTTACGGGGAATTGGAATAAAAAGCTTAGTGTTATAATCTATAGCCTATAAAATTACCAAATCGGCAATTTGTTTTTTATACTTGCGCCGCTGGTTATAAAAATGCTTTACTGCAAGATATTTATTATATTACATATTATATAAAATAGGTACCACATGGAAGAACGCGCGGTCCTTCTGAAAATCGATTACAGCAGCAGTATCTATTACCCGCAAAATAATTTGTAATAAAAAATTTTAAACATTTTTTTCTAAAAAATATTACTCATACCTATTAGATACAACTATTTTTTTCCCACTTAATAGTTGATAAACGAAATTTTAAGAGTAAATTATTACGGAACAGTGATTATTTTCACTTCATAGCAAATTTCATTATCACTTACACATCTATGTTGCTGTGCATAGTGGTATACCTAATTAAATGCATGATAATGTAACATAACCATACACACCTATACCTATAGTTTGAAGAAAAACTGCATTAATAGTAGGTATCGTTATGAAAAGAAAGTAACACCCAACACGCGCGCGGTAAGTGTATCGTTCCAGTAGGTCTATCAAGTGGGCAAGTGAAAAAAAATGATATACATCAAACATTCTTCTTAATTAAGATTAAGAATTGGGTTTAAGATGATTACAGGAGTATGGACAGTCTGCGAGCTCATTCGTTCGGCCGATGCGCAGTAGTTCAGTTCTTGGATACGTTTGACGAAGCCGTTATTGGAGTATACGTACACGTATATAGGTAAGTCTTTGGTACTATTTTTATATTTACTATTTTGTTGTTATTAATATTACGCGGTTGTTTGTACGGCTATGAATTCACAAGGCGTTTGTTGACCGCACAAGGTAAATTGTGCGTTTGTTTTCTCGAATTTTCATTAAAGCTTCTATTCCGAAAGCCTTTGAACGTTGCCCAAGAAAGTACATACAGTACCTACATAATATAGTATAGCCTGGAAGTATACGGGTTCTAAAAGCCATTAATTATCGTGCTGAAAAATCCCTCTCAACGAAATAAATCGCTCCACGTCAAGTAGTTATACATATTATATGCGACCGACGTTCATACAATTTATGTACATCCGAATTATGTATATGCAATAATATAATAAGTGCATAATCAGCATTAGCCTTGATGTGTGTTGATATAAAAAAATTATATCAAGTTTATAAAAAAAAAAATATATTTTTTTTTGACGGTAATTAGTGTGCTGGACGAACCATGCAAGGCCACGGCCGACTTATCGATTGTGTGAGTTCAAAATAATGTTGGTATACCGGAATACGAAGGGTTTGACGATAGAACGCGATTGGAATTCTAAGCACACGAGCTCATTTTTTTCCCTGCGAAATAAGTGGTACTTACTTGGAGAAGTATACCAACACGGTTAGATCATGTAGTGCAGATGAATAATACATATAGTTATGGAAGACAAATAAGTGTTCATGAAAACGGTTTTACTCCGTGTGCGAGTGGTTCGATGTCAGAAGTAGAAAGTGACGTATTCCATTAATTTAAATGGCTTCTGAATACATTCCATCGGAAAATTTTAAATTGGTGAAATAACTGACACACTAGAGTAGCAACCGTACAAATTAAAAAAGAAAGACGTGCAATTATTCACACGAATATGATATTATATACCTAAAATCTACATCCATAATTAAATAAATAATAGTTATAATAGCGGAGAAATGAATACAAACTAAGATCGTATTTTTATAAATTGATATAAATTTTTTCTCTGTGGAGTTGTTAAACAAAAAAACAAAAATTTTACATTCATTACCAGATTTTAGACACAATATATTTTTAAAAAAATATAGCATTAAAATTTAATTTAACTAACAGTTATGTATGGCTTAAAAAAAACTTTTTGAATGTGAAAAGAGAAAAATGATTAAATTAAGAAATAAGGTAATAAAGTAAATATTTTATATAAAACACACAATTTGTAGGTATATAGTAATTTTATATAATGTAATATTTAACCTTAAGCTTTAAATTTGCGGAAGAATAAAAACTCTTAGTTCCTTACTGACGGAAATTCGAGTGATGCATTATGTTATTGTCACCAAAATAAAGATCAAGATATATTTAATACCAAGATTTTCTAAGTAGACATCCCTGCAGCAGCATTATTGTTCAGTCCCTTCACTCGGAGGCTTAGAGGATTTAAGACATACAGTCACGAGGGAATATAATTGGGTACGTGTATGAACAGTTTCGGTACCCATTTTATGGTCGGTTTATAATCGGTATACTAACATACATACCTAAGGCCACATATACGTACTATACTGTGGTACTCATAGTCTCGGCGTTTGTTAAGTCAGTGACCACGTTAAGGGTGTGAAAATGACGTTTGTAAACTCATAAATAAAGGTAAAATACAATAATATAAGTTTAACATAAATATTAATTGAATGAATATTTTCCTACATATTGTATATAGGCATACATATATTTATGATATGTATGTGCAAGAAATATAATATATAGCTTATATATATTTTTAAAAAACCCATAAATATTAAATTCTTAAACCGTGAATATTGTATGACGCAATGGTCCACAGGGAAAACGGAAGCAAATAGGATTTTTTTTCATTTTAGTTTTTCTTAAGACGCATACTAACACCCGATCCCGGGAAATAATAAAAATGTATTTTTAGCGACATGAAATAGAAGCAATTAAATGGAAACGTGCTAAAGTTGTAACCATAATTTTTATACTTAGTAAAATAAACAACGGGAATTATAATACAACGTGCAACTGCTAAGAGTGTATTGTTCTGCAATACGAGTCATGAATTTAAATACATTTTCGCAGTGTAACAGTAAATGACTAAATTTCCGTTCAAACTTTATTAATGTTGGCCAAAACTTGGTAAATAAAATTTAAATGTTCACCCTAATATATACATCTAAAAACTACAATATTTATATATAATACAGAAAAATATTTTAATATACCTATTACCTACTGTTCAGAATAACACATAATTTGGTAAGTCAGCTAATAATACTATAACGATATATTATGTATAAGTATAAATAATTATCATCATATTATATTATATCATATATTATGATGATATTTTGAACCACTGATTTCTATAATAAAACGATTTTTTATCGATTACAAATTGAGCGAAGAGAATATATCTCTATACAAAAGTGTTTTATGATGAATTTCCTAAAAATTTTATTTTATATTTCTTAACATTTATTTTCGTTTACTTTCCAGTGCCCAAACTTCTTTAATAGTACTATCGTCTGAGTATCCAATCGATAAACACACACTGCTTCTACGTGAAACTTTCATAGCTTTTTTGCTGTGCCAAAAAGCTTTTTCCTAGTAAACTATAAAAATACATAATTGTAATATAAGTATCCCATTAATCTCACTTTTCATTCAATTCAACATTTTTAAACAACTAAGGTCGTTTTTTTACAATGCTGTTAATTTTCAATAAAATATCAATAAGATATGCTAATAGAAGTTATAATATAATAATAATATTATATTATTATAATATTATCCAGCTGGCTAGATATATACATGAATTTAATGATTTCGTTCTATGCATATATACTACACAGCAAAAGCTGTAATTTTAAGTAAATAAAACTTCAATTAACTTTCAAAAAGTTTAATTTAGTCAAACACAGTTATTTGATTTTTAATTAACGTTTATTTGGTCCTTATTCATTCAGGATAATTATGGAAGCCATGATAATACATCCTACAGTAAGTTTTAAATATGCTTATTTGAAAATAAACTAAAAGTTCTGTGATCAATACAACGCGGAAGGAAAACGTATTTGATAATGTTTTAATTTTTACAAACTGTATTAATGTTAATGAAAATGTAAGCCAAGTAAAAACAAAAATAATACCGCCGACTTTAAATTCTTTCATTAGTATGATATTGCGGTTAAAATCCATAATTTCAAAAACGTTTGCGTTCCGTAAACGCTATACTTATGTAACAAATTTAATACACGACCGGTGCAAATAAATTGGTTAGATAAATGAGGGTGGGGTCGTTATCTATTCAGAGGAATTGGTTGTAAAATACGAGATATATACGCTTAGGTATAGAAAAGGTGTTAGATTAATAATTCACGGACCGGATAAATATCGCGGTTGGTGTAGGGTCACGGACGGATGTGTACTCGACCGCCAGAGTCATTGAATAATATAATAATTATACATCTATGGAATTATTTGTTTTTCCAGAAATGGGAGGCACGTACTCGACCGGTGGTGTGTTCGTGGTGAAGGAGAAGGAAAAGGGATCAAACAAGCAGCGACACCGGCGCAAGGATAACATCAAAAAACAAGGCCATGACAATCGGTTTGAGTGAGTGTCAAATCTATAATATACTTATATACTATACATAATACATAATATAATCCGTATTATGAGTAATATAATTTAAGATCCCCACCATCAGCAAAATATACACTTAAAAGTATCATTAGACTTTATGTAGACTTTTATGACTGTTTCTTACCCTCTCATCGAGGGTGTGTTATCATAAAAACCCAAACAATGACCCCTGCAGGTTGTAAAATAGTGATACGCGTACAAAAACTTAATGGGGTAGCCCAAGAAATTGGCTTTCGACCAAGATTGCCAAACATAGGCGATAATTGTGGACCACTGCATGCTTAGTTGCGTACGGATACGCATTACATAAGTTATTCTGTAAAAAAATATATTTGCCCCACAATAACTATAAGGAATAATAA